TCAAACTGGGGCCAAGTGGAAAGGCGTCTGCCTTGTTCCTCTTCTATCTCTGATTTAAAAATTACATTAAAATTATTTTTTTAATCGACAGTTAAAACCGATTATGTCGGCTGAATGTGCCTTCCAATCAAGCACAAGATCAGCCTTTTTTTTTTTCTTTCTTTCTCCAAGTCGGAGAAAGTGTGCTTAGAAGGAGTTGGGATTTTAACACGCCCTACATTTCGGGAGAATGAAGTTTTGGGGAAAGACCCCGATAAAAAGGAGAAGAAGGCCTTGGCGCTGAGCCTTCGTCCTCCGGATCTTTGATCAGTTGCCCGTAGGGCGAAAGACTTTCACGCACAATTCCAAGAAAAAGAAGAAGAAGAAAACACACACACACACAATCTCCTTACACAAACTTCCCCAAGCCTCGTTTTTCAAGTCATTCTAGCTTAGTTTCGCGAAACTTCAGTCCCTAGACCCCAGCTGTCACTTGAGAAAACAGCAGCGCTTTTTTAATAGCGTTCTTTCTGTTCGTCGAAGTATTATTATATTCTTGCAGAAATTCTAATTTCCCGGTTCGGGTTTTTTTTTTCCCCCAGTTTATGGGAGACTCCCGTTGGCTGAATCTCCGTGTGGGCTTTTAAGTTCATTCTCATTTTATTTCAAAATGAAAAGAAGCAAAAAAAAAAAAAAAAAAAAAACAATCCTGCCAGCCAGGATTCGCTACCCTCCGGGAAGCGAGTCCTGCCTATTCGTTTTGTTTGAGTCGGGGAGAGGGGAACAAGGCGCAAAATAATATATTTTTTTTCTGGTGCTCCCTTTCATTGGGGAAATTCGTGGTGGTTGACTTGAGACAAATCATAAAAATAGGGACGGAAAGGAGGAAAAACGCATTATAGCCCGGCGTTCGTTCCTTAACCTACATAGGATCTTATCTCTTTCTCTCAAGCATCTTCTGTGGCTTTAGGATGGCACCCTACCCTTGGTTTGATGGCACTGGTTTCCATGAATCTGCGGTTAGAAGAGGAACTGGAATGTTTACACGCACATTATGAATCCCGCTTTGTTACCGTTGGCTGCAAGTTTTAGGGCAGGTGTTCTTTTAAAGCGAATCTTTAAAGGGGGGGGCAGGGGGAATCCCCAGCGGCTGCTTCTGAAGCAAGGAACGCGCGCGCTTCAAGCTTTCCCAGGAATAAATCCCATCGAGATCAATGGGAGTTATTCGCGAAGAATTTTGCAGTTCCTTTTTCCCCTACGTGAGTGCTGTGGCTTTTCTTGGCTTGTTGGGTCATCTGCACCGCCTTTGCTGAATTGCACACCCGCACAAAGCGGACACAAATACATCACGCAGGGGCGGGGGCGAGCACACACACAAATGCACAAAACCCTTGGGAGAAACAGGGTCCATCCGATGGCTGTCCCCCTCTGGCGCTTCTTCCCGATTTTTTTGAATTGACTTCAGACCGTTATTCCTAACTGCCTTAAATGGCTATGCTTTATTATTATTGTTATTGTTGTTGTTGTTGTTGTTGTTGTTGTTGCTGCTGCTGCTGCTGCTGCTGTTGCTGTTGCTGATTTAATCTACAGTTTGGTTCACAATCTGGGACTAGTAAAACTTAAAAGTTCAAGTCCTAACCAAGGACCTAAGCGCTGTTAAGGAAGCGTCTAATATATAGGCAGTTCCAAGTGAGATGGGTTTTTTTTTTTTTTTTTGCAATGTCATAATCTTCAGGTCTAATAAATTCAAAATTTCCATGTATCCAGGCAGCCCTTTGGGTATTGCTCCGTTGATCAATCAACCATTGATTTCTTCCTCAACAATGACTCAACTTGAATTGGCAAATCGCGATATTTCGTTATTATTATTTTTTCTAGCTGTTTCTCTTCCAGTCCTGCATCATATCAATGAACCAGACTTTTTTCTTTCTTTCCCACGATAGCGATATCAGGCGTGTGGTGGGACAGATGTCCCCAAATTATCCGTCTGTCTGTTTGGATCCCAAAGTTATCATTTCCATTTTGTATCTCTCGCCTTCTGAGTTAATTGTAGGACAGTTTAAAAACTCAATTCCTTCACGCCAGGATTTCAAACTAACTAAACAAATCCTGGGAGGAACAGAATTATATAAGCAGTAATATAAGAAACGAACAGGCAGATATCCCTCCGGTTCAGCAGGAAACTAAGAAAACGAGGGGGGAGGGGCACGCTTTTCTTGCCCTTCGCCCAAGTGCAAAGTCAGGTCTATTGTAGTGACTCCCCCGCGAATGATACGTAGTTGCTCCCTAAATGTGGGTTACTGAAGGAGGAAGGGGAGGTCGGTTGCTTTATCACGGGGGGGGGAGGGAAATAAAATGAATTATAGATATATGCAGGTAGAGATATATACCGGTAGATATGGAAACGTTGTAAGCTAGAAAAGCTTACTTTTATTTTTATCCACACGGAATAAAATACTATTCACCCAGCCCTCTGTCCACTCTGGGGGCGCGGGGGGAGGGACATTTAAAACAACGTGGTTTGTTTGTTTTTTTCGTTTGCTTGGCTTTTCGTCCTGGGGGAGCAGAAGGCCGGTTTTCTGACGGCGAGGTGTTTTAAAAAGTTTTCGAGAGAAAAATGCAACAGGAAGGAAGAGCGGCCGAGCCCGGGGGCTGCTAAGCAGGAGAGCGGAGTTCAGGATCAAAGAAGCGAGAGCGAGTTTCTGAATGAGTGCCGAAGAAGGGGGGGTGGGAGGGGAAAAAAAAACACCCCACAATTCAAGATGAAAACGGCTGAAAAAGCTCTCGTCTTCTGGGCCCAAACGGTTGGGGAAAATAACTGCAGCTCGCTAGTGCAAGGCGAGGAGAGAGACCCGGAGCGCGAGAGATCTGGGATGTAGGCTTTTCTCCGCGGGGGGGGGGTTCTTCCCACGCGTGGTCAGGAAGGTGGTGGGGTGCGGGATGCGGGGAACTTCGCGAGCTTCCACCCGGAGCAGGTGGAGGAGAGATAGAGGAGGAGGAAAGGTTGGCATCGCCCCGTCCCTAAAAACTCCAGGGTGCTCTTGAAAAGGTTTCGTGGGCTAGAATGGTCCTCCACCGCAGTTGAGGGGGGACCCCGTGTGTGCACTCACCAGCCTTTTCATCCAAGTCTGACCGCGGAAAGAAGCCCGGGACTCACTTGAAGCGGGATTAGCTTTTCTTCCCAGGTCCGCTATTACCGGCCTGTTACCTTGCAGGTCACATATAGGGGAGGGGGAAGATGGTTCCTGGTCCTGGGGTGCTACGTGAAGGAGCTGCGCCCCTAAACAACGTCCCCCCCCTCCCTGATTTGGGGACATTTGCAAAAGTCCCGGATCCGAAGCCCCTGAAGCAGGGAGAGAGGCGCGCTCCCGGAGGCGCACGGTCAAAAAGCCCGTTCCGGGCAGCCGGCCGAGAGCCGAGGAAAGGAACGAACGCTGAAGCCTGTCACGATTTGGCTTCACCTGCCTGCAGCTCCAGAAGGGGAGAAGACAGTTTGATATTGGCTGAATCGGCTTACAGGGGCCCTTTCTCCCAAAGGAGGGAAGCTGTCTGTGCGGAAGCGTGGATGGTTCCCTTTTCAGGCCGGTTTTGCACCTCGCAGCTCCCGCCTGGATATGGGAAATCCAGGAGAAGAGAGCTGAAAATGTATACTAAAACCAATAAAACCAGCAGATGATAGACAGACAGACAGACAGATCAGAGACAGACAGACAGAGATGGATACATGGAGAGAGAGAGAGAGAGAGAGAGAAAGAGAGAGAGAGAGATGAGAGATAGATAGAGAAAGAAAGAAAGAAAGAAAGAAAGAAAGAAAGAAAGAAAGAAAGAAAGAAAGAAAGAAAGAAAGAAAGAAAGAAAGAAAGAAAGAAAGAAAGAAAGAAAATGAGTGTATTCTTTAGGGCTCTCCAGTTTCCTATGAAGCCGAATAAAATTCGGGCTGGTGTGGCAAATTTTCTGAACTTGATCGTGGCCGATGGGGGTCCACGTTTAGTATCCTGAATCGGCGAAGAGTTGGATCGTTGGATCAGTCAGTGGGTGGGGAAAACTTTCTCGTTTCATTTAGGCGTGCAAATCGACAGGGTCGGCCCCTCCAAGCTCAGTAAGACTTAGCAGACAGATGTGGGGTTGCGTCTGGGCGCATCCTCAGCCTTGTTGGCCTCCCTTGAGATTATTTCCCACCGAAGCCTATTACCCCGACAGCCTATTGTGGCTTATAGGAGTCTTTTAGAATCACAGCCTCTGTCTCTCTCTGTCTCTCACACACTCTCTGTGTCTGTGTGTCTGTGTTTGTACAATGCTACATAGTACTGTACTTATCCGGTAGGATATCCTTAAGAACAAAGAATGGGATGTTTCCATTACAAACACAACTTTCATATATTCAGAGACCATTTCATGCTCCGGCCAAGGTTATCTTCTTTTAGCGGACTCGGCCTGAAGGCCCCCGTCGGAACGCCTTTCCCAGCTATTCCTACAAATCTCCCGTCTTTTAGTTTATAATGCTGACCTGCGCGCGTTTGTTGGGAAGCAAATATTAACCGGCCCACCCCAAATGCCCTGAATCCAGGGCGCCCTGGATTTACCTCGGTTAGGGCAGGACCCCGCGTTGAGCTTCACCTGAGGGTTAGGGTCCCTCTGCTTTTCTCTTGGGGAAGCAGGGGGTGTACCACCAGAAGGCAGAGCGGGCTGTTATCAGCGCTGTCGCCTGCAGCTATTTGTGGCTTAGCTTAATTCGGATTCTGCTCCTTTTTTGGAACCAAGCGCCGAAGTCCACCAGGACTTCCAGAGGGACACCTTTAAGTCTCCAAAGCAGTCTTAAAGGTCCGTTTCTGTTTCTTCCAACTTCTGCTGCAAAAGCGGGAGGGAGGATGGAAGAAGAGGCGGGGAAGTGAATCCTCTCTTACACACACACACACACACACACACACACACACACACACACACACACACACACACACCAGCGCAGCCAAGCCTAACCCCAACCCCTGGGCCTTCTTCCAGCTGGAGGAGGGAAGCGAAGCCAATCCACACCTCGGCTTCTTAAAATAGAGCGACGACACGCTCTCCCGCACAGCCCGCGGTCGAACAATGGGGTCGCTGCGGAAGATAGGCGCGCTTGATTGACAGCTGGGGTGTTCTGAGCAGGGCCGGGTGCGCGGCGCTCTCCGCGGCTTATATAGAGGCTGGAGGTGGGGAAGGCAGGAGGAGAGTGCGGCGGGCAGGCAAAGAAGGCAGGCAGGCAGGCAGGAAGGAAGGAAGGCAGGCAGTTAGTCAAGGAAGGCAGTCAAGGAAGGCAGGCAGAGAACTCTACGAGGGAAGCAGGCAGGCAGGCAGGCAGGCAGAGTCCCTGGATCCCGGGGGCTGCCCGCCCGCCCGCCCAGCGCCGACTTCCCCTGCGGTTTCCTTCTCCTTCGCTCACCTCCCGGGGCTCCGCGGTGCCCCCCCGAGCTTTCCCCCCGCCATGCACTGCCAAGGTGGGCTCCGGCTGCCTTCGCCCGGGCAGCAGCTGAAAGCAGCCAGGCGGCGCTACAAGACCTTCATGATCGACGAGATCCTCTCCAAGGAGACCTGCGATTACTTCGAGAAGCTCTCGCTCTACTCCGTCTGCCCCTCGCTGGTCGTGAGACCCAAAGCTTTGCACTCCTGCACCGGTAAGAGGCCCGGGAGGGGAGGGGAGGGGAAGGGAAGGGAAGGGAAGCCTCGCTTTCCCCTCTCGAGAAGGACAAAGCTTTGGGGGAGACAGCCCGACTGCGGGGCTTGGATCCTGCCTCGGGGTCCAGGCAAAGGAAGCTTAACGATGGATGTAGACCTCTCTTCCCCTTCCTTCCATTCTCCTTTCTTCCTTTCTCCTTCCTTTCTTCCTTCGGTTCCTTTCTCCTTTCTCTTTCCCTTTTTTCTTTTCCTTCCTTCAATTCCTTTCTCCTTCCTTTTCCTTCCTTCCTTCAATTTTTCTCGTTTCTCCTTCCTTTCCTTTCTCCTTTCTTTTTTTTCCTTCCTTCCTTCCTTCTGCAAAATGTTTGCCAAAGAAGCTGCAAATCTCTTCCCTTAGAAATACGTTTTCAGGTCAACTGTTGCTATTGGACGTCAACGTTTGTGGTCTTCAAAGCAATGGGGGCTTTTATGGGAAAGTGGCATACACAGCATTTGTGATATTACTTGTCCAGCTGTAAACCACTGAGAACCAAAGCAGGTGTGGGGGACACCGACTTACCTGAAACTCATATTCAGTCGGTTGCAGGCATCCTGCTTTGAATTTTACCTGGGGCAAAAGAGAGTTTCATACACACACACACCACATTAAGGGTAATCATTCTCAAAGTGGGATTTAAGATTGTGCCAAGGATTTGGGATCAGCAACTGGGGAGATTATTGGCTTCAGAGAAAGTTTCAGTTGCTCTCCACCCCCATCCCAGTCCCGAAACTAAGATCCAAGTGTAAGAAGGAACTTTAGAAATCAACCTCTAACTAGGGCAGATCAATCAAGGAAATAATTCCCCATAATGCTGTTTCTCAAATGCCTGGCAAGCAAATGTTTCCCAATTGTCACTTACCCTGTTATATCTCCTATGACTTCAAAGGCACAAAGTGGCAATTGTCGGTGCTTATACCGACACAGTAGATGGGTATCGTCTCTTCATCTGTTTTTCCTTTTTGACAGGCAAGCAACTGTCCTCTAGATCCAAAAAGGACCCAGAAATACTACTCAGGTTGTGGGGGGGGGGGTTAGAGAAGGGAGGTGAATTGGATAAATCCAAGTGCTCTTAGGAGCTCAGATCTTCAGATGGAGTTGCTTACAATACATTGCAGTTGCTTACTACAAGCACTTGTCTTCCAAAGTTGAGTTCCAATGACAAGCGGGGGCTATCCAAGAGTCCAAGATTAAGTCACCCTGCTCTGTGATTATACACAGAACAGCAAATACGACTGGTTGTAATTCGTAGGTGTTGTGAGCTTGGGGCTAAAATAGGAAGAATTGTTTTGTTTATATGGAGATTCTCAGTCATCCAGATCCTGGTTGTCTCAAAGATGTTTTTATAAAAGGCAACTGGAGCAGCTTTGTTTTTGCTTGGAGACGTTTCGCTTCTGATCCAAGAAGCTTCTTCACTTCAGAACTGAAGAAGCTTCTTGTTTTGTTTTCATTTCCTTCCCATAAAATAGTCAGCTTTCCCAGTATTTTTTTTTTTTTAACAGTTACGGATCTTGGCGAAAATGATGAGACAGCTTTGGATTGGATGGGGAAGAGGCAGAAATAAGTTAGCGCTTTGGCTTAGACTAGTCCTTGCAGAGTGATCTTCTTTCATTAAATCTTCCCTTTTCCAATCCTAAGCAAAAACTAGATCTCTCTATGTGTAATTCAGAAGTAGGACCTCTAGCATGGTTCTCCTGTAGCTGTTTGCAAAGAGTCGCTTATCTTTCTTCAAAAGTTGATGCGCCAATTCCATTACTTGCCCTCATATTAATATTGCTTTGTGGCTGGATTTTGTTCAGGTTGAGCCACACCGAAATGCTTTTTTCTAGCTTTGAAGCTTATTAGAATGACCAATCAATAAAACCGGAGTTTAGGTATGCCACTAAGCCACTTTACTAAATCAACCCCAAATTGTTGGGCTTTAGACATAAACTGAGATTTATAAATCACAAGGAATGGGTTCACACGTTCCTCCAAGCCTAGATCAAGGAAACCATCCTATGTCTTAACATAATGTGTGAATTCAACCTTTTGCCCAGCTTAATTTAGTTTGCAGAGTTAATGTCAGGTTAAAATAAAGAAACACTTTGTTGCTTTGAAAGACCCGTGGGATTTCTGTATAATAAATAAAGTGTCCCATTGTCTTCTAGGATGTAATCCAATTCCAAAATGATTGCAATTTCCTTGTTAGGAAATAAGATTAACTGAAATAGAAACTGATTAGTTACGATGTTCACAGGTCTTGCAAGCACTGGGTGTAAAGATTGATCAGTTGACATGCCTATGATTTAAATGTGAAGTAAACCCACTAATACTTTATACAACTACTAAACTGCAAGACCCAGTTTGCTTAAATCTTCTGGGCAAATATATTTCTTTTAACATGAAGCCACTCAGGCCAACTTCTCCACACTTTCCTAGTATATTTCATTGGGAAATATTCTGTCCCTGAAAATCAGTGAGCATGTAATCAGTGAATCAGAAAATATTTTAATCCATTTTCCCTTCCCTTTGGGACAATGTGGCCAGAAATGAGAATCTATTCAAAAAAAGTGTATCGATTTTAATTGAGCTGAAAATCATACTAGTCCCAATTCAATCAAAGGAGAAATTTGTCAATTGTTAGCCTACTAAACTTGTGTTTAGAAATGATTTAACTTTGATTGTGGCATACTCAAAAGATTTTCATACAGAATCCCCTTAATAATTGTATAAATTTTACTAAGTAGCAAACAGAGTTGTTGTGTAATAAATATTTTAGAATGGGGAAAAGTTATGTAATTTATTTAGCCAATCAAGTGCAGCACGTTGGCACAGTGACTGTAACATTTTGAAATAAGCCCTGTTTACTTTAAATATCTAAAGTCTTACACTCACCTGTTCTACTCTGTAAAATCAAGGGCAGAACTGGCAGTGAAACTTCGATCATTAAAATTAGTATTTTTTTTAATCCCATTTTAATAAAACAGGTGTTCTCCTGCCTCTAAAATAAAAGATTGCACTGAAATGTAATGGCATGTATGTTGCTTTTAAACATAACATTTAAAAGAAAGTTATGACATTTTCAGATTTCATTCTTGGGCATCTTACTTTGATGCTGCTACTTGTGCTAAAAAGCAAAATCATTAAATTCCTCTAAAAAAAAAAGCAAAAAAAAAAAAAAAAGCCAAGAATTAGAAATTGGGTGTGGTTCCTTCATAAAGCACCCTGGGTGTACTGTAGATTAAGTGTGTTATCATTAAAGCAGATCTCAATAAACCACATTGATCATAGAATGAGTGGCAAAACATTTTCATGACAAATAGTGTTTAAAATGAAAGCAGAAAGTTATTGGATAAGGATTCTTTTAGAAGGCGTATCTCTTTTGGGCTTTAATTTAAATCTATCTACTCCCATCTGATAAGGAAGTGTTGTTTGTAAAATACTCCTAGATTTCAATCTCATGTATTAAAAAGATGTAAGTTTCACCAAATTCAGGGTCACTTATGTTTGAGACAATTAGTGTAAAATTTGGCTAAAAGATTTCCAACTGCCCTCTGCCTGATTCCTGTCTTTTGGGAATCACTAGTTCCATTCTCTAAAAAAATAATTGGATGCCCTATAACTCAGTCTGGCCAAACATGCCATGTAGGAACACAATGTGTAATTAATTGAAATGTTAAGGAAGTGCTTACAGGCATTGACAAAGTAATTCCACTTTACAATTGCCTTATTACAATGTTATATTGTCATTCATATTTTATATCAATTTCCCCCTCATTTTTTATTCAAACCAAGAATTTATAACCAAGAATCGCTTGTTAAGAACTCAAAGGCAATTGCTATTCATTTGCATTATCATATCCTGATCTTTGAGAGAGTCCCATGAAGTGAAAGACAGTCAGATATAAAATAAAAGTCCCATTAAAATAGATCAGTAATCTGTCAGAAGTTACAAGTTAAATTGCATACATAAGTCTTAAACTACCTTGCATGCAATTAATTAAAACAAACAAGATCTAGAGAATCCGAAGCTCTTTGATAGTTGTAATTCTTCGTATGTTTTATTGGGAATGACTGCTGAACACAGAATGGTTTATTTTTGAGTAGATTTGCACTATGGAAAGACCTCTCAATCTATATTGTATGAAAGATTGGTACATTCAGATATTGTTCAGAAGGAAATAATAGTCTGCTCAGAGTCAGTTGGAGGAACCTATAAATCCTGTGAATAATAATAATAATAATAAAGATAGCTATTGTAATTTGGTGCTACTTTACTCATACAGCAGAATGACATGGGAATGTGGAATTAATTTTAAAAAGATATTTTCCTATTTCAAAGACTTACCTTGATTATTATTAACTTGCCTTGGAAAAAAATATTAACAAATGGCTGGAGGCTGTTCTCTTTTAATTTTTCAAATGGCTCATAACCAAATGTGGTGATTCAGTAGTTACTCATGCATCATTCAGTTGCAAAAACTCATATACAATATTTACTCACACAGCGCTAAATCAGAATTCCTCAACAGTGGAATTCCTGTGATCTCAATTATTTCTTCCAGAAAGTTACTCTGGATTATGATAATCGATTGACTCATGGTAGGAACATAAGTATTTCTGCCTTAAGAGTTTTTTTTTTTAAATTAAAATAGGAACACAGACACAAAGTGGCTTTCTTTCCTTGACCTGAATTTAATAGTTCAAACTTCAAATGCACAACTACTCATGGAAGGAAAACCAGCTACTGATTAAGGACATGAAACTGATCTATAAACATGAGTAAAATATATACAACCTTTTGTAACTACAGCCAAACTGCGATTTAAACATGTCTTGTTTCAGTCTTTCAATGCCTCAATGAGAAGCAGGGTGCATTGAGAAATTCAGCATGAGGGCAACTATTAATAATAATACATGACATTAATAACAATATGCTCTTTAAGACAAACAATTTATAATGGTTTCCCTGCTTCCAGTTGAACCTACTTATTTTAAAACCTTTCATCCGTGACAGGAGCGAGGCAAAGGAAGACAGTGCCATATTACTTTCTTTAAGCATGACCGCTCTTAATTGAAACCATGTAAAATTTACCCAGATATTATACCCAAGGCAGTTTCTAAAATGCTTGGAATAATAATCTTCATGATGAATTGCTTCATCTTCACAGCTGTTCTAAAGGACAGACTTTTCTCATGTTGGCAGTCAAATCTCTTAGTATTTGTGTTGGCTGAAACTCACCAACAATCTTTGTTTCATCTTAGAGCACATGGTTGGTAAGCAAAATATGACTTTCCAACACAATTAGCAGACCTTTAAGATATAGAACAACCCAGCAATATCCCTTTCCAACTCAACTGATATCTGAATACCAGATGACCAAGTCAGACAATTTTACCCACACAATTGATTCTTCCCGTTCTCATGCTTTCTCTTCAACGCTCACTGTTGATAAAAGAATACCATCAAGCTCACAGTTAAATTGACTGTAATAAATACTGTCCTACTCATGCTTCTAGCTTAAAGAGGACTAAATCAGGCAAAACAAATGCAGACTGTAGGAGTCAAAGGAGGAGGGGTCGGGAATTCCTGAAAAGGTCAAAAATAGGGTAAGTTATGTTTTATTTAATTCAATAACTCATTACAAAAACAGACAGAAATGCATTATGGTTATAGATTTAAGTGTCCATAAAGCACATTGGGAACAAATTCTGGAAGTAAATTGGTTGGTCTCTTCTGATTTTGAATTTATCAGTGACAAAAACAGTTCTAACTCGGCCATTGAAGAGTTCCAATGTTCAGATCAAAGAAAGTTGGTTAATCATGAAAATGAACAATTTGACTGCTTTTGGCTGAAGGAGAAATGCACAGGTTATTAGCTAAGAAGTGGCCATTGAGAGTTGTTCTCAAAATATATGTAAGAGATAGGTTACCGCAAACTTCTTTTTTTCCTTGAAATCAATCTATAGAAGACTTGAGTTAAGTTATTGTAAACGGTTATTTTTTTAAAAAATAATAATCACAAACCACTTTGCAATTGTCTCGGAATGCAAGAACTGCACAATTGTGCCTATCAACAATTCACTGTTGTAGGAAATGGATCTTTAGAATCCAGGTGTTGTGACAACCAACTTAAAAAATGGTTTATTATGTAAGAACTGCATGCGTTTCCTTGAGCCGCATGATAGATAATCCTTAATCCAACCCAGAAGTTCTTTTTTATTTATATAGTTTTTATTTTTTTAGCGGGGAGGGTTGTTGTTGCATTGTTGTTGTTTTAACTAGAACAGTATAGCAAGGTTAGAGCTGTTGAGGCAAGTTCATTCAAAACAGTGGAATCTTTCTGTAGGGATGAATTTATGAGATCCAAATATCAATAGCGAGGTTTCCTGATTTGCATTGATAGCTTAATTAGAACATCCTTCTAAAGAACTTAAAGCTTGTACTAACCAAATTCATCTCCAGATTAGGTTTCAATCTCTGAATATTACCTTTGGAACCATATTGACCTGAATTGTTGTTTACCTTGTTAAAAGCCAACTGATTTAACATCGTACTTTTTTAATTTTGGTTTCCTTTTGATATTCATTTGATGCTGATTTTGTGAAACAGCCTTTTCGTCATGGATTTTGCCACAATCTTTCAACAAAGGAATGGCACTTCATTGAAAACACAAGACATTTTGGAACTGTAAAGATGGAGTTAACAATATATATATATTGTTATATATATATATAACAATCAAATAATCAAACACTCAGAGAACAAATACAGACTGCAGTTCTACTTTTTTATAATCTCTTTTGCCTTGCAGTCGCTCAAGTCACATTACAAATTCAGATTTCTTTTTGCTGATGATACATTACAAATTCAGATTTCTTTTTGCTGACGAGAGTTAAAGATTTAAGTGGGAGACTAGTATAGCTATTTCGGACTCATTTGTCCTCATCAGCTAGCCACACCCTTTATGGGATTCAAACCAGGGCAGTCTACAGTGGTTAGTACACTGCCTAGCATGTAGACTGCCCTGGTTCGAATCCTATAAAGTGTGTGGCTAGCTGATGAGGACAAATGAGTCCGAAATAGCTATACTAGTCTCCCACTTAAATCTCTAACTCTTGTCAGCAAAAAGAAATCTGAATATATATATATATATATATATATATATATATATATATATATATATATATAATATTTTAAACCAGATGACGTGGGGCTTAGATAAATTAATGGGGTCAGGAATAGGCTCAAGACATTTCTCTAAATGAGACAATGTTCTCTCTGTACAAACTGACCCGGGTAGGTAGAGCAATAATAACAGGTCAGCAATTCCCACTATCCATGAGGTTAGCAGACTAGTTTGTGGACCCCTCATAAACTTAGTACACTTTTTCAACACCTTATAGTGAATTCGCCATTCTGTCTGGTGGTCCTCTTGTTGCACACATAAATGCTGCATTGTGGCGTGACTAGAATGTGCAACTGTTACAATTAAAAAAAACCCTCTAGCATGCATATGTTAGCAGCAAAGCTTAGAGTACCCTTTTGTTCTGCATAACCCAAAAATCAACCACACTGTTCCTCATCTCATAGCAGCCCTGGCTTGCAATTGCCTAGAGCAAGGGATGTTGGAAGATGTAGTTTACACATGAAATACCCATGATATAAATCAGGGGTCTTCAAACTTGGCCCTTGTATGACTTGGCTGGCTGAGGAATTCTGGGAGTTGAAGTCCACAAGCCGTAAAAGGGCCAAGTTTGAAAACCCCTGGTATAAATAAAGAACTAATTACCCCAAAACTGTAACACAATCTATATCAGAAGTACAAAACCAGAAGCTTGTCAGAGCTCCCTGTTGACCCTGAAAGCACTGGAGGGAGCCCCAAGGCCGCACCCCAAATTGCCACACAATGGAGAATTTTAATAACATTTAATAATTTAATGTGCATGGGAAGTAGTTTTACTTCCTGCATTTTATTTATTGCCATTTTAATTATATGTCACTTAAACCATTTAAAATTAAATTTCTTCCTCGACACACCCACTTTTTGGCAGGTTGGTTCCAAGATTATTTTAGGCCCGAAGAAAAGTTGCACGTAGGATCAACACTTTAATGCTATCTCTCCTATCGGTGACAAATTGCCATGTAATCTTGGATCTGGATGAGGTTGAATGAACTTAGTGCATTGGGCAACTCAAGTGCAATGCTTGTTCATGTACAGGGAGAAGATAACCCCTGAGTGACTGGAATCTCATATATAACAATTGGGCATTATTTCCTATTGCGTTTGCAACGATCAGGGTCACTTTGTCAAATGGAGTCTCATAATAAGGAAGGTCAGTGTATTGTTTCATTAGGGCTATGCAAATAGTTGTATAATGTTGGAAAAGGTGGAAGGAAATAGAAGAAGGAAATGGCATATTATCAATTAGTGTGGTGCAGCTGGTCCTCAAATTATGACATTTGTTTAACAACTGTCCCAAGTTACAAGGGCAGGAGCTTCTTGTATGCACAAAAGCTGTTCTCTGTATGGCAGAGGTCCCCAACCCCCGGTCTGTGGACCGGCACCGGTCCATGGCCTGCCAGCAACCAGTCCATGCAAACAAGCGAAGCCCCATCTGCAGGATGCAGGCAGCACGCAAAACCACGCACCCTCCGGTCCATGGAACTGGTCCCTGGTGCCCAAAAGGTTGGGGATCTCTGCTGTATGGCACATGTGTTGACTGAGGATCAGTGGCCCACTCCCACAATACTTGTCAACCATTCCTGAAACTGAAGATATTTGGGACCGAGAGGTGTAGTCTTCCGCGTTTTGGACTCCTGCTGGAACCAAACCTCAAGGAACTTCTCTCTATGGCTGTTAGAGAGTCAAGAATGCCCGTCTCCAAATCTGAAGCTGGAGGTGCACCCATGTCATCTCCATCCATCCAATTTTCTACCTAATGGAATGTCTGCACTTTACATGAAGCCCTTCTGAGCTGGGTAAAGAGTAAATAGCCCATTTAAAAGATTTCCGATGACAGGCCACCCGAAGATGCAGTGTTTTAACATTCCTTGGACAAACCCCATAGTCTTTGGAGGAAGCAGAACCCTTTTAGAAATTATTTTAAGTTTTATCACAGAAATAGAAGGGGTCAGTCTGAGTTTGGTAGCTAGCCTTAACAATTCTGGAAGTCCAGAGAAGCAGAAGATTTATGACATATTAGAAAACAATCCAGTTGTTTATATTGGTGACCCCAGAAGCTCGTGATGGCATGTGTGTGTGTGTGTGTGTGTGTGTGTGTGTGTGTGTGTGTGTGTAGAAGGTCAGCAAAAGTCCCAGCGTGGAATTGTTTTAAATTTGATCTGGGACACACTTCAAAATCCACATGGAAACTGTTTCTGCTGAGACCTACTTTCCCCGTTTAATTGAATGGATAGTGTTACGGCATTCCTGAGGGAAGGCACAGAGCTGTGGGAAAGGGAACAAAACATGATGAGTACAGTGTGGGTAGATTCTTTTTCACCCTAAACCTTATTAAGGCCCAGTAGCAGCTGTATTAATTCACTTAAATAAAACAAACATGCCATTGTAGGTAATACTGTTTATCAGTCTCATTTACACCTAGCTGGAGGGAGTTTGCATTCTGGCAATGATAGAGGCCACAGGAATGGGATACAATTCCTTATTTGCAGAAATCTTTCCATCTAAAAGGATTATAAAGTTGGCTGAGGCAAGGCACTCATAAATATTCTAACCTTCATTTAGGCTGACTGCAATGTCCTTTCTGGTTTGCCACAGAACACCACATTTTGCACAATAGAATATGCAAGGCAGCCAAAAATAATTATCAGATTCTCTGTAACAACTATGATGAGAACATAAAACAGCCCAGCCCAAAGTAATTGCTGTTATGCAGTTGTGATATCTCTTTGCCACAGAGAACTGGTGTGGCTGTAGAAAAGGTATGAATGCAGGACATGGGGCTCTCCAGATGCTGTTGAACAATTCTCAGCATCCCAGCTGTCAGGACTTGCTAGTGAAGGATGCTGGCTGTCATACTTCTTCCACATCTGGCAAGTTGCATTTTATTCTCCTTCTGAATACCAACACATCCTTCGGCAAGCTTTGAAATGTGAAATGAATGTCTAACATAAATGAAGATCAGACAAGACCATCTGTTTCACCTGAGTATTTTTACAACCAGGCTAAAAACTGGGTGACTGTGAATTCTAGTTTCCCCCTTAAGCGTGCAAGCTGGCTGGGCTGGGTGTCTTTGGGCCAGTCCTTCTCTCTCTCAGCCCAATTCACATCACAGGGTTATTGTTGTGGGGGAAGGGAGCAGGAAGGGATGTGGAATTTGTTCACCTCCTTGAGTGATTTGTAAAAAAAAAAAAAAAACAGGATACAAATAAATAATAAGAGTGGAGAGTTTCTTTGTGAATTGAGTTTTGCGGTGGTGCTTATTTCTGGTAAAAGAGCTGCTTAAAAAATCTGATCTGGTGGAAAGTTAACCTAGAAGAAAGAAATAGAAATAACATATATAGATGGCCACTGAATCAGCAAAACAGAGACCAAAAAAAAAATCTGGAAAAGAGTTCTAATTGTGCTTGGGTTGTAGACAAAGATTCTTAACAGGGGCCATACATCTTGCTATTACTGTTGTGTTACCTGATGTTTTACACACTCTCTTGCAGTCAGCGCTACAAACAGCTTTGGTAGTCTATTCTTTCCATCCTATTTTTTTTCAGCGCTCTGAGTTTTCTGAGCTAAATTTAGCCCTTAAGGATGGCCCACAACACAGATTTTTGCAAAGTCTCTAAACAGATGCTAATCCAGAGCTGCTTGAAAGCCTGTATTATTCCATCTAGCTCCTTTTCCTCTTAGCAATTGTCTTGACCTTCCTCCTCTGCCTTTATCCGATTTCTTTTTCTCTTTTTTAACTTCTCTTTTTTTTTCCCTTGACATTAATCCACTGGTGCACAATGCCTGCTTTATTTCTCAATCTTCACAAAGTCAAGGAATCCATCCACTACGAGGATTACAGGATTTTTTACAAAAGAATCAGCGCATTACGGCTGTGGTTTAGGACGATTAAAGCCTTCTATTACATTACTAGAGGGGAATAACAGTTGCTTCACCTGCATTGTGAAAAATCCAGCATAAATGCGGAGTGATTAGGGTTCCCCCACCCATCCTTCAAATCACTAAACCCATTGCAGTGAAAATAAAGGGCCTGGATGAGCTGATTCATAATGCTGTCAAAAGGTGCTGATAGGTTTGTGCTGCTGTAAGATCACATAGCATGGCGTGTATTACACCGTCTTTAGATCCTAAATACACTTACAGACAGCATCTGAAAAGAGCATGAAAACGACAAGGAAATGTCAATGCATTTGAAACACACACACATACACACGCTACAGGGGCACATGTCTCTGGTGAGTTGTCTCAGGGGACTGGAATACTAAGTTTCTTAAAATAGCATTCCTGGATATTCAGTATAGGATCACATGATTTCTCAGTTTCCCGACAGAATGTGGGCTCACATGCTGCAGTAAACCATAATTTTCTTGGGTTCTGCTGGACATGAATTTAGTAGGAGGTTTTTCAATCATGGCAGGCCCATTCGATTCTGGTTTGACTGGATTGAATTTATTTACTTTTATCTCACCTTTATTATTTTTATCACTATCTCAAGGCAGAAAACATACTAATCCTCTTTCCTCCTTCTATTTTCCCCAACGCTGTGAAGTAGGGGGGCTGAGAGAGAGTAACTGGACCAAGATCACCCAGCTGACTTTTATCCCTAAGATAGGACTTGAACTCACAGTCTCCTAGTTGATTGGCCTA